TCGTCAAGGCTGCTCGTAGCTACAGTTTCAGCTTCAAATAGGGCATTACTGATGTCGCCGACATCTTCCCCCTGGGACGAAAGGCTTGTCGTAGCTTCAGTGTCTTCGTGAGTGGAAAAAAGTAGCTTCCGCAAAATTCGGGATGGCTTTAGTCTTACGCAGTAAATCGGTGCCAAGGCACATAATGGAAAATCACTGTCCAAGTTTCCCCATCTATGTTGTCCTTTGACGGCGTTTCCTTTTTCACTACAATCTCCTCCCCTTCTGCTGGACATAATCCGCCAGATGGTGAGACAATCAGCACCTTTCGATGCAGGGTTGGAAAGACCTCTAGGTTTGCCATTGATCTGGCCGCACCAGAGTTCAGTTGAAAATTGCATGGACGTCCTTCTAATTTGATTGGGGCTAGTAGGAATGCTTGGGAGCCCTTTAGTAGCAAGCAGAATAGAGCAGAGGAAGGCTCACTTGATGTTAAGCTATAACGTGGTGGGCCTTGCCATAAAAAACACTGGATTTAGTCACTTGTTTTAGTTATTGTAGTGCGGAATCGTAAGCAACTCCTGACACTTCTTTGTTGCTAACTTTGCCAGCTCACTGAGGGAGTTAGTACCCGTGCTGCCTAGCCTTTCGACCATAATAAGTGGGTAAACTCCGTGTCTAAAATAGACAGTCACCCGTTCGGCGACCCTGCTTTGAGGTGAGGTGGAGAAGAATTGATCTATTAGAAGCAGGAGGTTCTTTGCATTCTGTTCGTCGTTATCGTCCGGGATGACAAAACTCTCTAGCGAGTGCCTGTTCTTCCTGGTCGACAACGAGTTACCTTGGGCAGTACACCATTTCCCCAACTTAGTGTGTAGGCTTACCTCTGCCTCTACGGTGGTTGAGAATAGGTTTCGGAGAAGGGCGTGCAAGTTCTAAATTGTTGCTTGAAGTTAAATGTAAAATAGAGGTTAAATTATAATTTTAATTTAAAACAAAAAATCCACGTCGTTCTTGCGAGGAGGAAGCGCTGACATTTGTCTCTTCAGCGTTGGCCTTTAGTCCCTTGGAACGAGTAGGTCGATTAGGCAGAGGCATTTTTTACTGGTAGTATTATTAATGGGGTATAGTGGTTGGGGTTAGGCCGCCTCAGAGAACACTCCCTCCTCGGCAGTGGATGATTCTTGCTCCGTCAAAAGATTTCACGTCCAATAAACGCTTCTCGCCTGAGAGGCACATTCAATCAGACAAGTAGCACAGATCACATGCAACCAATTCACGAGGAAACATATTTTCAGTCTTTTGGTGCATTAAATCCCCAATAAATAGGTTATTTCAAGATGTCTTCTTAAAGGGGAAGAGTAACTAAACCACAAAATAATAAGACAGTCAGTTTAAAAGAGCAGAAAGTAAGTATATGAAACACAGATTACTCCAAGCTTCAAACAAACTACATGCATGATTTTACCGATATATCTAATTGCACAATACTAAACAAAGCTTCATTTCAATTTCATCTATGCAACACCGTAAGTGTTAAGCACTGATCAAAGCGGCCATTTGCAATGCAAATTTTGTATTTTGAGAAATTTTGGCACAATATCTCATCAAATGGCCCCCATTTCAAAACAACAAGAAGGTGAAAATTAATGTAGCTAGAAGATTCCTGTTGTAGGTAGAGGGAAGACAAATAGAGTTGGGGACACGTGCACCGTTGAAAGGGCTAAGCTAAGTCGTGCGTTTTTGTCCTGCAGACATGCGATTCTGCTTTGTTTGCCTGTACCAACCACACCATGCCCATCGTTCCACGTTGTCAATCATGATGATCTACAAGCAGCATCTGTGTCGGTGTGTGCCTTAATTTACTCTGACATTTCTGCGATCGACAACTTGAACTTTTTCATCGGAAATATTACCCGTACCTTTAAGGCGAAGAATACAAGCGATACATTCACCATCTTCAGCTTATCAACCATTTTGCCTGCCTTCAGCAGCGAAGTACATAAACGGTCATCAGAATAACACGCATGAACAGGTGCATTCGTGACGTTCCTACCTTTGAGTAGCAATCGAAAGCTATCGACGAGTCATTGCTTTGTAAATCTCGGCTTTAACAGAATATTCGTATCAAAATACGGACATCCTTCTAGGCTATACAATCGCAAAGGAGGAACTACAGAGATTCCCTATCCCCATTGCTGACAGTTCTCATCAGCTGATTAAAAATGTGGAGCAACTGAACGGACCTAGTTCCGAGCACTTTACAAAAGCAACTTTATTCTTCATAACCGACTTCTTATGCATTGTTTTGAAAGCAGAATGTCATTTGAGACTTCAAATGATTGGATATTTTTACCACTTAAGCATTAAATTCGCAAATGTTTCAGCCGACAGGGAATCTGTTAGCAAATCAGCCACTCCACCCAAGCTGAAATGAATGTTGGGAGTAAGGCAGTGGCAAAAGAGATCACCCAATTCAACATTCCATCCTGGGGAGTGGAAAGAGTCCACAATTCAACTATTGAGAGCGGAAAACCTGGACTCGGAGTAAGCCAAAACCACGATTGCAAACACGTAAAATGACCACTTACCAGTGCAATATCGGCTTTTTGCCTAAGTATCTTACCACGTACTACGATTGCAAGCCACGAGTGTGTAATTCTCAAATCACACATTTCACTTTTAAGGTAAATGATGGGCATAACACACCATAGTCGATTGCCTTGTTTCATCTATTGTGCAGGAAGCGACGGTCATAGGATTGTGCCATCATAGAGCCAGGGGTGATTTTGTACCCGACAGTAGAAAAATCAGTATGAAGATTCTGTGGCAGGTGACAGGGAAAAGGAATCTAAAACACCATCATAGTCAAAATGTTAGTAGAATGGCGTTTTACAAAACAGTTGGTGCACCTCTTCCCAAACCACCCTCTGGTGAACTTCATGACTCCCTTGTAAACTCTATATTCAGGTAGTGGTGCAAAAACATCAGTAATAGCTATTTGTGCAAAAGTGATTGATGTAAATTATGAACTTTTCTCGAAAAATAAATCGTCACAAGCTAAAATGGTTACTGTGATAAGCGTGTCGGTGGAAATCCAATTAAGGCTTACAAAGTCGATTTGAGCGCATCGACATGGTGCCACGAAAGTAACTTCTACTAGGGCAACCATTGAATAATACGACTTTCATTTAAGCTACATCATCGCCCATTAATGGGGAGGCATGGGAGTAACAAATGTGTAGAAGTGTATTTAGTTCAGTTTAAGGTAGATTAGAAGAGGAGAATAGGCAGCCCTGATTAATACCTTGGTCAGTACATTTTACCATTCACATTTCCAGTCTTGCTTCCTCCATGAATTCAAATGAAAAGAATGGAGTTGACTCAACTAGGGAATCGGCAGAACAAATGACAAACATGTCTTTGGAATTAGGTGTTTACTTTAGAGGCCACTACGTTAACATACTTGCGATAAATGAGATGTCCCCTAAACATGGAATGCAAACTTGCCTTCTGCCTTCTAGTCTGTCTACAATTGTCGCCAAATAAAACATGATGATGAATCAGAAGGGAAGTCTAGGTGTTGGAAACTAAATTATACTCTATTTTAACACCAGAGTGGGTGATGCAAATTAGTCTTGCCGTGTTACCGGAAAACCTGGTAAATTGATTTCACTTCCAATTTCGAGCCATTTTCCCACTGCACAAGCATGTAATAAGTTTGCCTCCTGGTAAACAGTCAGCAAAACCCCTAGATGTCAATTATGTAAGTTTTCTGGAAATGGTGCACTCATTTTACTGTTTGCGTTACAAGACAAAAGCATAAAACCAGTGCAGGTTTTTCATATTTGGGTACAAACAACGTGGCTTTGTAAAGATTGACGGAACATTAAAACACACTTTTTGTTATTATGTCTGACTGGCAATTCGTAGAACGTACGGACAATGCTCTGCATGTGAAC